TGGCGTACGATCCGAGTATGATCAAAAGCATGCCGTTTTCTCTCGTAAATGCTAACAAATCAAAAAAAGGTATATATATATATATATATATATCCGTCGAACGCACGTAGATACGATACCTGTATCACTTCCAGATTGCTCAATTTCGAGCTTCGTTTGAACTCGTGCTCGTGAGGCCGCGCCGAATTCAAAACAATTTGCTTCCTGGTCTCGTTGTTGATATTGTTCGCCCGCGCCCTTGTCCGTTTCATCCTGATTCGTCGAAAGGCGAGGAATATGACGATTAGGAACACATTTACTGCTAGAGCGACGCCAATCCACATTAGCTGCTCCCAGGTGATTCTGAAGTGGCTCGATATAATCGGCGTGGAATACGCCGGGTTGCCGCAATTTAGTCCGGTCATGTTAGGGGGGCAGATGCACCTGTACGTCCCGATTTCGTTTACGCAGGTCCCTCCGTTCGTGCACGGATTGGCGTCGCATTCGTTAACGTCCGTCTCGCAACGTTCTCCCATGAATCCTTGGCATTTGCATATCGGCCCGTTGTTGCCCTCCTCGCAGACTCCGCCGTGAATGCACGGGTTCGGGCTGCAATATCTTCCAAATTCACAGCGTTTCCCACTCAAGCTCGGACCGACACACTCGCAGGTGTAGTCGCCTCCTTCCGGTGTCACTTTGCAACGGCCGCCGTAAAGACAGGGCGACGAGGCGCAAGGATCGGTATCGATCTCGCAAACGATCCCCGCGAATCTGCTGTGACATTGACACTCGTAGTTCTCGCCACCGGAATCCTTGCAGGTGCCGCCGTTTTGACACGGCTGCGAACCGCAGATGCCCGGCGGCACAAGAACCGTGGCGGCGTCGCAGCTGAATTCCACGTTCGCGAAGCGTTTCAGAACAGCTACGCTACTGGCACCGCTCATGTGCAACGGTACCGAGACTCTCGCGATTCTGACGTCGTCCATGCATCCTATGAAACCACGTTGAACATCCTCGAAGCCCAGAATGGACGGGTGTTGCTTGACCTCGGCGCCCAAGTAAAGATCGTCGGACTGAAGGTTCAGAATGTCGTTGATACCGGGCGCTGATCCATGAGCCACGCCCTTCCCATCTACGATCAATTTGGCGTTGTTGCTTTCTCGTTCCAATTGAATCTCGTGCCACTGTCCGTCGCTCACGTAAACGCTGCTCACGCGGACTAAACCCTCCCCGCTGCCCAGATCGAACTTGTACTGAACGACTCCGTTCACGATTTCCAGTATGTTGTAGTCGACCTTGCCGGCCGCGTACATCAAGTTTCCAGTTAATTGCACCGTTCTGATCCTCAACGACAAACTGAGTCGATCCTCGATCGTCTGCCTGATCAGGGCTTTGTCGATCTTGTAACGAGCGTAGCTCTTGCCGCTGAATGATATCGGATTCCGTGGGATGTAACAAGACTCGTCGTGACACTTGGAGATGTCGATGTCGCAGGTTTGCCCGGCGAAGCCCTCCGGGCATTGGCAAGAGTATCCTTGGACCGAGGAATCGGGAATACAGACCTTGAACGGTGGGCAAGGATCCCTGGCACACTCGTTGACAACTACCTCGCAATGATTCCCGGCGTATCCTTCTTTGCAGCTGCACTCCATCTTGTGCTTGTGCCGCGGCGACACGAAACTGATCACGTCGGTAGCTATGGGCGTTATGTGGTTAACATCGAGAATGATTCTGTCCTGGCAATCCCCGTAGACGCAGTATTCTTTGTTGCATTTAGATCTGACGATTTCTTCCACGACTAATTTCGTCGATTGCTCGAGTTCTTCGATACGCTGATTCAACGCCTCGCGGATACTCTCGGAGGTATAAAAGGTCGACGATCCCAAAGGCGAGGAGCTCTTCTTCACGGCGAACAGGAGGTCGAGATCGTTGTGAACGGTTTGGCGAATAGTGCGAGATTTGATGAGATTCACTTCGTCGGTAGAAGGTTGGACGCTGATAATAACGACATCTTCCGATCTGCGGTTCAGCGCGTTGCGCACGGTTTTAATGAACCTCTCGCGATGCCTTAGTACAAAGTCCTCCGGGCTGACCTCCCTGAATCTCACGATCACGGAATTTTCCAACATCTTTTCCGTTACCAGATCAACGTCCACCTTGACGACAGAATACGAATGAAATTTCCCGTCCGTGACACTAACGTTCACCCTATACTCGCCGACGTCGAGTCGCGGGAGGGCCACCAACGTGCCGTCGAGCTTTTCGATCTGAAAGAGATCGTTCGGTATAGGAGAGGACGAGACCAAATCGTACGCAAGCGTGTCGTATTGATCTTGATCGGTCGCGTGAACTTTTCCAATGATTCCACCAGGATACTCGTCCATGTAGGAAATAATAACGACTTTCAGAGGCGTGATTTGCGGCGGATACTGGGATTCCTCGATCACTTTGATCACGACCCACGCGTCAGAATAGAGAGGCGGACTTCCGTTGTCGAAGACGCGTATATGCAACACGTATTTGTCTTTCACCCTGTTGTTGAATTTGGTGGCGGTTCGCAGCGTGCCGTCCTGCTCCAGTCTGAAAGCGTCGCCCTCGTTGCCAGACCGGAAGTCGAAGGTGTACGGCGCGGCGTTCGGCTCGATATCGGCGTCTGTGACCAGGAATTGTAACACGGTGTGGCCCAGGGACTTGTCTTCTTGCACCACCGCGGTATAATTTGAAAGGGAGAACAGCGGCGGGTTGTCATTTGCATCTAGAACCTCGATGTTTACCATCACGAAGCTCGAGAGTATAGGTATGCCGCTGTCCCGGGCATGAACCTCCAATACGTAATTACCGATCTGGAAACATGAAATATCGTTGTAGATTGCATTGCAAATCGGCCACAGCCGCATTAAGATACGTAATGAACGGCGCGTATGATTTATACTGACTTCTTCGCGATCCAGTGGCGCGGCGACAGTAATTTGCCCCGTTTTCTGATCGATCGAGAATTGCTTCTGCCTGTCACCTCGTTCGATGTAATAAGACACGTTCCCGTTCTCCTCGCTATCCAAGTCGTTTGCGAATACCTGAATACATTCATTATAAACGTGAAATTGTCTTATAATTAGCGAGCAGATGAAACGAGATGTTTCAGCTATTCGAGACTTTTCCCGCTATTAGTCATTTTCTTTCAATACGATTACGAGATCATTACGTAACAACTCAATCAGTTGTTTTTTCAAACACACACAAGCTTACCTGGGTAACTTTCTCTCCGATCTTCGCGTCTTCGCGTATTGATGCCCTGTACGAAACTTCGCTGAATATCGGCGCGTTATCGTTGCTATCGATCACGGTGATATTCACCGTGGCGTGATTGCTCAAAGGCGGGATGCCTCCGTCCACGGCCTGGATGGTCAAGAAATAATCCCTGGCGCGTTCGAAGTCCAATTGTTCCGCGATGGTGATCACACCGGTACGCGCGTCTATTTGAAACTTCTTGTGCTCGTTTCCGCCAACGATCGAGTAATAAACGTCGGCGTTGACTCCGGTGTCCTTCGACGTTGCAAGAACTCGAGCCACTTCCGTTCCAACCGCGTAGATCTCAGGAACCTTCGAGAAGTAGACCTTGGACGCAAACTCCGGCGGATTGTCGTTGATATCCTGCACGTTGACGATCAACGAAGTCATACTCATCAACTGAGGAGTCCCCTGATCAACCGCCTGTATAGTCACGTTGTACATGGCCTTCGTTTCCCTGTCGAGCGGCTTGCCGAGCGTAACGATGCCGCTGTCCGCTGCGACGAGGAAATGGCCGTCGGCAGAGTCGATGAATTCATATCTGATCTTACGATTAATGCCGATGTCATCGTCCGTGGCGTGTACCTTGGTTACCAACGTGCCGACCTCCACGTCTTCCGGCAGTGTGGCGCTGTACGTTTGCATGGTGAATTTCGGCGCGTTATCGTTCAAATCTGAGACTAGGATCTCTAGTTGAGAGGAGCATTCCCACGACGGTTTGTCTCTGTCCTGCACGTGGGCCGTGAGCGAATACTTCGCTTGAGTCTCTCGATCGAGCTGGCCGATCGTTTTCAATACGCCTGTCTCTTTGTCCAACGAGAATTTGTCGTTGTTGTCGCCGGTCAGATAGAAACGTAGCTTGGCGTTTGGTTCGTCGTCGTAATCAGTGGCCAGGACAGTGAGCACGTACGTTCCAGGATGCGATCCCTCGGACAGGATCTCTCGATAACGATACCTCAGGCAGTACGGTGGATTGTCGTTCACGTCGAGCACCTGCACCGTTACACGAGTCTTGAAGACGTATTTGCCGTCGGTGCCGACTATTTCCAACTCGTAACGATCGATCGTCTCCCGGTCCAGAGCCTTCGCCACGTATACCTCGCCGGTTGATCTGATCTGGAACTGAGATCTCGAGTCGCCGGATGTTATGTAGAACTCAATCGGCGTATTTACGTCCGAATCTTTGTCCACGGTGATCAATTTCACCACCACCGTTCCCGGCAGAGCGTCTTCGTTTACCGCTGCTTCGTAACGATCGTCCACGAACGCCGGGGCATTGTCGTTGTAATCCTTCAGCTTCACGTGCACGGAAGTCCTCGCGAAGTGTTTCGGATTCCCATTGTCAGTAGCGACCACCTGCACACGGTGAACAATTAAATTAAACGTCATGACGAATGTTTCGTCTCTTTCTAATTTCACAAAGAAAAAAAAAAGAAGAAAGAAAAACAAAAGAGAGACACATTACAATTGAAGATAATAGAAACCTAGATCGTTCGTGTTGCAAAAATCGTTTAATCGAACGTACTTGAAACTTGTACTCTGGTTGTTTCTCCTTGTCAAGCAGAACCAGCGTCGATATCCAGCCGGTGTACGTATCCACGGTGAAGACGTTCGCCAGTTCGCCGATGTCCGAGCCGAAGGAGTATCGAACCTCGCCGTTGCTACCCAGATCATCGTCGTGCGCGACAATTTTCAAGATCGACGTTCCTTCCTCTATATTCTCCGCCAAGCTGATACCATACGGATTGCTCTCGAATTTCGGGGCATGATCATTCTCATCCAACACTTGCAGCGATATTTCGGCCAGAGCTGTCAATGGTGGACTGGAGTCCGTTTCAGCGAGGACTCCGATCAAATGATTGTCCTTGAGCTCGCGATCCAGTGGTTTAACTAAAGTGATCTGTCCATGAGCGTCGATCGTGAAGAGCGGGGAATCCTCGTCGCCGGAAACTATTCTGTACGTGACCGTGGTGTTGGTCACGGTTTTTAGTCTTGTTATTGGCGTCCCAATGGGAGACGCTTCTGATATGAAGAATTTGTCCTCTTTTCGTTCGAAGAGAGGTGGAATATCTTGGGGCCCCATTATGTAAATGTTAAGAGGAACGTCGGCGTGATGAGTCGTCGCTCCACCCTTGTCTTCCGCGCGAATAAACAGCTCGAATAATTGGTTTTCTAAAATACGGAACAGAGAGTAGTCGTGTATTTACTAAGGATATCTGCTAAGATTGTTGTAAAATAGATTTCTACATAAAACTCGAGTAAAACGATTCACAATCGATCACGTGCGAATTTTGTCGTAATATTCGTAATTCAACTAGGAATTATTAACTAATAATTATACGTGATAAAAGTACTTGGAAAATTATAAATTGGTCATTTTGATCACTTTAGTGTTAGCTTTAATGCTAGCCACGAATTATTAACTACTAATTACATGTTATACAAGTATTTTATTATGTTCATCTGAATTAAAAATATAGACTGGTATTTGGTATATAACCATGCTGCTGCTGCACAAAATCTGGCTAGAAAATTATGCAGGCACGTTGCAACTTACCCCATGGTATCGCACTTTTCTGCAGGAACAACGCGCCGGTGTCAGGATTGATGCCAAACAGCGCCTTCGCCTCCGAAGTCTGCAGTTCGTATATCGAATAGACAATCCTCGCAGCGTCATCCTCGTCAGCGTCCACGGCCTTTACCTTGAGGAACGGCGTGTTAATAGTCAAATTTCCGTGAATACTGGCTTTATACTCTGTCAGCAGGAACACGGGCGAATTGTCATTCTCATCTCCGACTCTGACCCTGACGATCACGAAACCCGACCTGCCGCCCCCGTCGGTGGCCATCACCGGTATCTCGTACAACTTCTGTTCCTCTCGATTCAATTTCTTTCGAGTTACAATCTCGCCGGTCAGTCTATTTATGTCGAATATTTCTTTCATCAGGTCGGAAGCGATCGTGTATATCACCGTGCCGTATTCACCGAAATCCTCGTCGGTGGCAATCACGCTCGTGACCAGTCTGCCAGGCAACTGATTCTCGAACACCGTTACCTCGACCACGGGATTCGGGAACTTGGGATTGTGCCTGTTAGCGGGCAAGATCTCGATCTTGACTCGCGCGAAGCTCGTGTACACGTTATCGGTGACGGAGACGTTCAGCATGCTGAGCTTCTTCTCGCCGAAGTTCTGCATATTGATCAGCGAGATGATGCCGGTGGACTGGTCGATGTTGTACGTTTGTTGCTCGTTACCGCCGACTATCGTGTACGTAAGTTTATCGTCCACATAGTCCGGATCGCTGGCGGACACCACCGTCACGAATTGACCCCGTTCCGCGTGTTCCGACAACGAGCAGGTGTACGATGGTTGCTCGAACTTGGGCGGGTTGTCGTTCATGTCGATCACTGTCACCCAGACGTGAGCCGTGCTCGAGAGGCTGGGCACCCCGCGATCGATCGCGATCACCGTGAAGTGATGCGACTCGTGAGCCTCGTGGTCCAGAGATCTCTTCAGGAAGATCACACCCTCCTCCGGATCGATGTGGAACAAGTCCGTGCTGTTCTCCGTGTCGTTCTGAATCGCATAGCGAACCTGCTCGTTTATGTCTAAACAATGAGAAAAAGTGATTTACGACATTGAGCCGACGGCATATAAGGTAATAAGGTAATACGTAGGAGACCGACACAACTCGGAAAAAGTATGTTCCTCTTGGGTAGAAAAGCGAAAATCTGATTTTGAACGATATTATTTTATATTCGACGTGTAATACGATGTGCATTTGTTCACAATGATAAGTATTTATAGAACATAGTTACAGGAATATAATTCCTTTTTATCGGCCAAATTATAAGGATCAATTAACGAGATAATTTTCATATTTTTACAGTAGAAATCATGTTTTTCGAGTTGTGTACGACACGACGTATACGCTCTCACTCGATTGGTGTATCGAGTTGTTTAAGCTCCTGGCTAACGTCAGCGTTCTAATTTTTCCGAAATTAAAAATTTATTATTTATTCCTACGTAATTGCACGAGACGGATCAACGTGTGTATAAGGTAATGAAAATTTAATTTCAAGTATCGAAATATGCCAACGACGCATCGGCGGGAAATTATTTGTTACGTGTACAAGAGGATAAAGCTTAATTAACGTTTCCCCATAACAGCTGTATTGCCACCGAAGAGAAAAATTTCCCATAGAGATTATTTCAAGAAACTCAAATTAATTAATTACAGTCATTAACATAATAAATGACGGAACAGATCCGGCGTTTGATAAGTTCAACGTCGGTTCATTAAATTGAAGCTTCGCTTCAATTTCAGCTTCAAGTTCTAAGTTACCGTGAACGGTAATTCTGAATAAATCACCGGACAAAATTTCTCAACGAGAAACGTCAGCTTCTATTTATCCTTTCCTCTGTCCTTTTCTCGGTCCATTCTCGTACAATCATGTAACAAACCGGGGTATATTTCATCGCGATAATTCAGCCGCGGTACCCGCTAAGAGCATCCTTCACAATAATTACAATAATATTAATCTTGCTCAAGGCTCGACTGCCTCGCGTTATTTATGAGACGCACAGAGACAGCGAAAAAAAATCACCGCTCGCTCGACATTAATCGCAAATTTAACCAGGTCCTTGAACTTTCGCAAATGCACTACCTTCCACGGGTGCAATTTTATTATGTTATTAAAATTGACGAAAGTTTCAATTATTATAAAATATAAAAGAAAAAAATTGCTGGAATTAAATCATCAGAATCAACGGACCGTTGTATAAGAAATTTCTATTCTGGCTGTGTCTTCTCGCCGGAAAATGAAAAGAACTCTGGTTGACAAATAAATCCACGAATATCGTGCAACGTGCAATTCAACGCGCGTTCATCGAGATTTCCACGTAGATAAAAGAGGCGAGAGTCTACGTGATTCTTCTATGCCGTTTCCTTCACGATTACACGATTACACGAGTAACATTAATATGCATGCCTGGGATTTAATAACACGCTTACCCGTGTCGTTATCTCTCGAGCTGACTCTCAACACGGAAGTGCCGAACGGCGCAGCCTCGGACACCGAGATGTTGTACGAGTCCTGAGTGAATTCGGGCGGGCAATCGTTCACGTCGAGCACCAGAATGCTAACGAGCACCTCCGCGTACACGCCTGATACGCTGTCCGTCGCGCGAACCGTCAGCTCGTACTGTTTCTTCTGCTCGTAGTCCAGCTCGTCCACCACGTAGATTACACCTGATTTATCGAAGAGAAAATTGTAGACCCAAAAGCGATCTATGCAGCGCAGCGTAGTGTCCACAAAGCCGAGAAACTTCTCCTTTTTTCGATTTCGATGATGCCGACACTCGGCATTCTTTCTTTCTTTGTGTGTAACACAAAGTTCCCGTGTACGTGTATTCTATATTTTTCTGAAGAGAGCAGCTCTCGATGTGCTTGGCAGTTCTCGATGCAGAACTTATGCAAATGTACAGAGGTGGTGTGGTGGTTGTTACTTATCAATGACGATGACACCGGGTAATTCAAGAAGTTTGCTCGGTTCCGCGGACAACCAAGAGGAAGAAGGCTACCGGTGAATGCGAGTCACGTGGTGAACACACGTTTGTACAAGACGCTCGGATACCGTGCGAGTGAATTCGCTTGAATTCGATGCTACCAGAATGCCCGTATCTTCGAACATGACACGGCGCGCGTTGTGCAACTTAACAGGTTGGCTCCATTCACACGGGCCGCTTTCGAGTTTTCTCTCGTGCAAGTTCATCGAGCCTTTGGAATGTCATACTCCGCACTCGTGCCCCCTGGGACAATGTCGCGTGACTACCTCTCGAGATCTTTATAAGTTACCCGACGAGACTGGATATTGGCTTCTCGATTGAAAAAAATGTAAAAACTTGGAACCAGATTTCCCGTAAATTCGGTCGTACGTAAAACGGGCACTTTTTTCAAAGTTAAAATAATAAATCCTCGGGAGTATTTTTTTCACTTTGGCCAATTTTTTTTTTCTTTTTTTTTTTTTTT